CATTAGAAAAGAAAAGTGATGAAGTTATTGATGAACTCATTAAAATCTTTTTGTTTACATCAAAGTAATAAAAGAATTGATAAATTAGAAGATATACTTAATTTTATTGTTTGTCCTTCTAGACCAAATTGTGATGAACAAATTGATTTTCGTGATGAAGTTTTAGATGAAATAGTTGAAGAACAAGACCAATCTTTTCTTTCGAGTTTTGGTGATTTAGATGCTTCCACTGATGATGGAGAGATATACATTGAAGATGAAGACTTAAACTTAAAAAAGCCAAAAACTCGAAGTACTCGTAAGTCAACAAAAAAGGTTACCAAAAAATGATACCTGTTAGTTTATATTATTAATTTACTAAGTATTATTATTTCGTTTTTACTATATTATGAAAAGAGAAAAGTATCAAATTTAAGATCACATGCCGAAGGTTCAAAAGAATATCTTAGAATTTTAAAATAAATGGATAAATTCTTAAGAAGAATTAGATTTAAGTAGAAGAATAGATCTTAATAACATGCATTGAGAAATATGAGTGAAGAAGAGAAGAACATTATCTGTGATGATACTCCTATCTCTGACTATGAAAGTAAACCACAAAAAAAAGAACAAGAACTATTATTGAATGAAAAGGAAAAAAAGGAAAGTCATTCATATTCTCAGGCTGCAGGATTTGCTACTGTTATTAATTATATCATTGGAACAGGTGTGTTTGGTATTCCTTTTGCTTATTTTACTGGTGGACTACCATTATCAGCTATTATTTTAATTGGTTTCTTTATTATTAATGTGACTACTATGAATTATTTAATTGACTCTATGGCTCGTTCAGAAGGAAGAAAAGAAATTAAAGAAAATGGTGGAGAAAATGAATTTAATGTACTCCCTGTGAATGAATTGAAGTTTCGTTTATTTGACTATACTACATTAGGTGAAATGTGGGGTGGACAATTTTTACGTTGGTTCAATTTTGCTTGTTTAGTATTATATCTTTATGGATCATTATGGGCATACGCTGCAACATCAGTTAGTACTTTAACAACATTATTTTGGATGATTTATGGAGATACTGAACGTTGTATTGAAAGAAAAGGCCATTGGGAATGTCAACTTGCATATTACGTATCATTAGCAATATACTCCATTATAGTTATATCATTAAGTTTCATTGATTTGAGTAAACAAGGAAAATTACAAATGGCATTAACTTTTTATCGATTTTTTGCTTTTAGTGTTATGTTAATAACTTGTATTGTACAGTTGATTGTAAGTGGACCAATAGATTCTGATATATCATTTTTGTATACTTTTAAGTGGGTTGGATTTGGTACTGCATTCACTCATACTGCATTTGCATTAACTTGTCATCAAAACTTACCTGATGCTGTTACTCCAGTAAACAAGAAGAAGTATTTGTTTTACACTACAGCGGGTGCAATGTTGTTGAGTGCAGCATTTTATTTCCTAATTGGTTTTATTTGTTCTTGGACTTTTGGAAACGATGTCTTGTCACCAATTACTAAAGCATGGTCAAAATATACT